CATGTGTCGACAACGAAACTCATCCAAATATTGCAACGTGCGCATGTTGAAGCTGTCAGGAAAGTCGAATTACAAATTGAAAATGGCGACAACGAGGCTCGTAGACGAAGAATGGATAAGATGGAAAATGATTTACTCTATTTGAAAAGTTCAACGGAATATATTCGAGATAGTTTTCAAGAATATCAAATTCGACTGTTTGGAATATTCGTTATAGACCGATCGATGGTGATGAAAATTTTGATTTTAGCTGTTTCCGTTACCTTCTCGAAAATGTTCAAGTTACTTCAGGAAAAAGTGATCGTAGAACACAAGAAGTTGGAATGCAAATGTGGATAAAACTTTATTTTATCCAATCACACATACTTTTGCTATGAAATCCATTTACGATAAAGCTTAATATTGTGATTGTATCGTTTGATTAATTTTCCTCTAAGCATCGACATACTTTATGACGTAAAGTAGTAAATTTGACGGAGAGAATTTCTCTAGTATGAATGTGACGGAAGGCTGATGCTCCGATCACTATTGGTGTCCACTCTCTTTGAAAACACTGTAGACAGTTTGATGATGGTAGCTATTGCGAGGGCTCAATGTATAGAGTTGTATATTCTTCAATCGAGCTCGAATATATAGACCCAAACCGCTTCTTCACGTTCCACAACACAATACAAATCTTTTCACCGAACCGAACAGCGGTGATTTCAATGGAAATGCAATTGAGCAGAATGTTTGGATTTCATCGATTGAAAAAACGAGGGCATTACTAATGAAGGTTCATCTTTGTTGAGAAGAGAAATTGCTTGGAATAGAACAAAGTAGATCATTGGAAACAAAACACAGATGAATAAACAGAACGATTTCCCAGCCGATCTACCATATTTTGACTTTTCACGCACGCTCTGTCAAGGTGTTCATTTCTTCTTCTATGCTTATCAGGAACCTTTTTTTCTCCTATATTCCTTTTCAAATAATTCTTCTGTTAAACACATTCAACTTGGAAGAATCGGAATTAAGGATAGACGAATCGAAGAAAGATTTCTGAAGCAACTTTTGCATACTCTGTTCGATTTGATAGAAGGAGATTGAACATCACACGAATCGTCGAAGAGAAATTTTCGAATAACACTAGGATAGTTCATACCCATTAGGAGGAAAACATTTATCTGACCGACAAAACCTTCTTTCTTCCGGATACTCTTCCAGATCAAATGGCTTCTTCGTCACCATCGCATCCCACTGTTGGTTTTCAATTAGAAGTAAGAAATTTTCATCGAATGTGTCGAAAACCTTAACCCGCTTGGTTTTGATCCAGATGAAGATGACGGCTCAGAAGACAAAAATGTTGGATCAACATCTGACACACCTTAAATCTCAAAAGCAATTCACGGGTAATCCGGTCACCGACGACTATATGCGACTATCGATGGTTTATCTTCAAACAATGATACAGGCAAAACAAGCCTACTACGACTTATTGGAATTTCAATCCGAGAATTTCAAGAAGGAGGTAATGAAGATTTAGATCAACTTGACAAGAAATAATGAATTGGTACATTTTAGTGTGAAATTCGATTTTTTTAATCGTTTGGTGCATTTTTTACTCCAGTCAAACTTTTTTGTTTTTTCTTTTGTTAAAACAATAAACAGCACTGTGGAGTACAAGAAGATAAAGCAAGAGATGTATTCATTTGTGCAACCAGGAATATTTTTCAAAAGATTTAGGAAGTAATCGTACAATCGTAAAGGGAGATATTTTCCCGGTCGGAACCTGGAATTAAAATGATACTCGTGGGTATTTGTAGCAATGAAACAGCACGAGCATGGGTGAATCTATTTACATCGCGAGAAATGGCTGATCAATCGTTATCCTTGGCTTTCAAGATGGCGTCGCGCGTAGTTGCTATGCTCTCTTCCAAGTACTTCAATTTGCGTGTCAACTTTTGTATTAAGTATGGTTCTATGTCTATCATTCTGACCCAAGTCTTTGATTCCATCCTCTGAATCAAAAAAAAGTCGAGAGAAGAATTCATCTGTGAAACAAAAAGGATTCGATATCAGACAAAGCTTTATCAACAGCGCAATTCTTCTTCCACTCAAGTAAGAAAAGTCGTTTGCCGACGCTACTTGTTTTCTAGTCTCCATCAAGCAAGATGAATTTCCACTTGCATTTATTTCCTTCGAAAGCGAATATAGTGGTTTTCCTAATGACAATTGTAGACAAATATGACACAGAAGCTGTGGTGCAGACAGCTATCCTGCAATTCTTGGCATTGCTTGGCACCGCTCTCTCTCCTCCCAATCGGCCATTCGACGACAAAAGAACCACTGCTAGAAATGAGGAAGAAATTAGAATAACCGTTGACTGAAACTAAACGAACTTCTAAATCAAGGCGAAATTTGAAATCATCCTTCTTCCACTGCTGTCCAAGTTCATAAAATACTTCTTCCGCTGGACTTTGATCGATTGTATAATCTAAGCACAAAGAGATTTGTCAAGCCAATCAATCCAAGACAAATTAGCTCACATTGATGTAAATATTCCAGTTGGGCACTTGTTAGTTTCAATTCGATTTTAGTGCGGGCTAAAAGAAAAAACAAACTCTGTCGGAGTGCTGTGAATGGGTGACGTTAGAGATTGACCTAGTCGGCATACAATTTGATCAAAAGAACTTACATGCAGCACACCTAAGGTAAAATGGGGAAGAAAAAGTAGGTAAGGCCATTATATGAAACGAAGAAAACGTTGGCGGCGAGGAATCGAAGAGGAATATATATATGTCACATGAGAAAGAGCAAATGTCACGCTTTGTTCGATAAATATAGATGACGGACGATAATGACCTGTGTCTGTCCGGTCAGTCGAGCAATGAAAAGAACTATTCATGAACTGATTATGTTACTGTTGTTGATCCGAGGCGAGGAAAAAAATTCTTCACATCGCACATGCTGAAGAATATCTCAATCTTTCTATTGCTTTTCAACCTAACACGGAACAAACTCGATTATCTTGGCGGAATGACCAAAACATGGCCTCAATCATTTCAACTGATTTCGATTGTGCAAATATTGAGTGGAACGACCCTCGACGAGTTTCAGCAAAATCCACAATTGATCGCGATATTCATCGATTTAATTATCGTTGCTTTACCTGTGATTTCTATTCTCGTCGTAGACGGAGAATGGATAAGATGGAAAATGATTTACTCTATTTGAAAAGTTCAACGGAATACATTCGAGATAGTTTTCACGAATATCAAATTCGACTCTTTGGAGTATTCGTTATAGACCGATCGTTGGTGATGAAAAATGACGATAAAGCTTAATATTGTGATTGTATCGTTTGATTTTAGTATAGTTTTCTTCTAAGCATCGACATACGGAAGGCTGATGCTCAGAGCACTTGTGTTCACTCTCTTTAAGAACACCGTCGAGAATTCGGTGGCTATAACTATTGCGAAGATTTAGTGTATAGTGAGTAAAAAATTTTTTTCTTTCTGTTCACATGCAGAAGATGTCGTTTACAGATGCACTTTGATGAAAAGAAGTCTAGCTAGTTAGTATTTGAACGACAGTATGACATGTTTTTCTCTTACTCTGATCGTTCGAATAGATAATGGATTGTAATCTGCAGCAGTTTGAGTTCGAACAACATGTTGTACACGACTATATTACAGATATGATTGAAAAATAGCAAAACTTGCACTACTCAACCCGCCCGAGAAATAGTTCTATTTTTTCTATTTAACCATTTTCTTTATTAGTTCAAAATCAGTGAAGGGCAAAACTGAACGCTCGTTGATTCCAGTACAAACAAGTTGGTTTCGATTTTTGAACTCCACGGACAAGAATAGAGAGTCTATTCTGGAACAAAGTATTTCCCATTTCACCATGTTGTCGTTTTCTATGGACGTGATCGATTGTCTCTATCGGTTAATAATTGTGTTCAATCTTGATAGTCGTCAATTAATGATCTGGACACCTTCGATGAATATTGAATAAAAAAGTGTCATGAACAGTCTTGTGTTGCTCTGTAAAGAACATTAATGGGAAAAAGAAATCGATCCTATATTTTCAATTTTGCATACATCGGATCTGAGAAACTTTTCTGTTTTCATTTCCATGAGTGGTGAGGCACTTTGTTAACACAAAATCCGTTTCTAAAAAAAGGAATTACATAGAAGAGAAAAAAAAACTGGGTCGCGCTATTTGTTATTACTTTCCAGAAAATGAAATTCATTGTCGCCCATAAAAGCTCAAGTCTTTAAAGGAAAAGCTTCTTTTTGTATTCAGTCGTCGGTGGTTACCACTATTCTAACAATATTTAGACACAAAGTATTACTCTTGGTATGTATCGGCTTTTCTTTTCATGGAAAATGTTACTACAGATGAATAAAGCAACAGACATAGACGAAACCACTGTACTCATTCCTCGGAGTCTCGCTAACCATTCTGTTTGATCAGTGAAACTTCTCGTATGCGTTAACTCACGTATATGTATAAGGAACTGCTAATGCAGAAGCTCTTATTATCTAGATTTAACACAAGAAACCAATTACCCATTTTTGGAAAACATCCCATATCAGTTGTATAGTATCCTGCAGCCACGTTCATACTGCTACAACAGTCTTTCTATCGGCCAGACTATAGTTTAATCTATAAAATGAATGTGATCCATATTAGAAAAAGTTGAATCTATCGTCGTTGTTCGATATGTTTGGAATAGACTCTCTGCTAAATATACACCCCATAAATCACACCAATGTAGCTCTATATTGATAATAAGATTTATTTAATAGGATTCCAAGCAGGAAACATGCTCACTGGTCTTCTTCACTTGTGGCGCAAACTGTGGCTGACCATCAAAAACTACAATTTATTCCCATCAATTCCACCCACTCAAGATCAACATCAACTTCGAAATCAACGCCTTTCTACACGACTTTTCATCGTCCTTCTCATCCTCTCCCTTATCGTTCTCATTCTCTACACATCATTGATCACCATCACACAGACACTCAAATTCACTTCACCCTCAATCACACAATACCGTCAACTATATTCCACATATTCACAAACATTATCGTGTGATTGTAAACAAATCTCCATCAACTATGACACTTTTCTGCATCTCAACTACACACTTCATCAAGTTTGCGACAGCATTTTTGTCACTCAAGATTGGTTCGATTACCTCCAGCGAGCTTCCCCAAATATACCCATGTATGGTGTTGATTTACGGCGTAGTGCTGCAAATATTTTCCAAGGGATGCGTGCATTCTGTGATTTGAGTCGACAGACGATCGAGAATCGCTTGACTGAGTTCTACGCAACTCAGTATGTCAGCGCAGATGTGGTGCCTGACGAACTGTTTCAATTGCAAGCCGAATCACTTATTTCTCAGTTCATTTCGTCAACTATCAACAACTTCTTGTTGTCGTTGGCATCGATTCGACAAACGACACAGAGTAACGTCTTGCTCAACGCACAATTTAACAACTTTAAGTTTGAAACTGACCAAGTTTCCTCCGTATATTCGTACCCATGCTTATATAATGGATGCAGTTGCGCAAATTCAGCAAAATGTACAATGCAATGTGTCGTTTTTAACGGCATTGAACTCACAGTCTTATTCTATGTGCCAGGAATGTATATCGGATGTTATCCGGTCGAGTCACTGTTACAATCAGATCTCCGATGTTGGTATAATCAATCATGCATCAGCCAAGTTCAATCATATTTCAACGCATCTGCACCGATGAATGTTACCGCTCTCAAAGCAGCTGTGTCGGAAGAGTTTGAGATGAACTCGACCATGGAGGAGATTCTTGGCAAGTTGATGATCGAAGAATGGTTTCCGACATTGATGTATGAGAATTATTACAATGCGTGTAGTCCATCGGAATGTTCGTATGTGGTCGAAGTGAGAAACAGTGTTGTTTACATAGTGACTACAGTGATTGGGGTGATCGGTGGCTTGGTTACAATATTAAGATTGATTGTGCCCCGTGTAGTGACTCTTGTGAGAAAAAATCGGCAAACAGAAGCATCAGCAACAAGTATGATTGCAAAAACAGTTTCTATATAATTTTGCAGCGTTGAGTAGGATAAGTAATAGGGTGACCGATGAACGAGTTCCTGTATATTAGTACTGATCCGAACAGATAACTTAGCCGCAAGTACACTCACAGGGTGACTTGTTCTGTTGAGACTAGAACGAAGAGTCTTATATGTGAATGACGAATCAGCTCGATAGCATGCGTATGATGGTTCGACAGTTTCCATCTGATTGAGAGAACATTTTCAAAACGGATCTTTCAGAGTAAGCAAATTCCTTTGCAGAATATTCTTAGTTTACAAAACGGAGTGTTTATTTAATTTGTCCTTGCCATGTATTCAAATATTCTCTCGTCAGTGGTTACCATTGGATAGAATTTGATTACGTCATTAACCTATTGGTAACCGGGCCAGTTTCTGTGAATGATTTCCTCACATAAACTGAGCAGTCTTCATGATGTGCATAATATTTGATGACGTGAATCGAGGAAGTGCTTGAGTATAACAATACTAGTGCTCCTAAAATGAGTACCATCTATTATGACATTGTTTACGTCATGAATGATAAATAATTCTTTCATTTCTCTTCCAGTTTCCACCGAGCAAGAAACTCATTCTAACATTCTTCAAAGAATAAAAAATTATGCGGAAACCTTCAGTCTATTCCCATCGATACCACCCACTCAAGATCAACATCAACTTCGAAATCAACGCCTTTCTACACGACTTTTCATCATCCTTCTCATCCTCTCCCTTATCGTTCTCATTCTCTACACATCATTGATCACCATCACACAGACACTCAAATTCACTTCACCCTCAATCACACAATACCGTCAACTATATTCCACATATTCACAAACATTATCGTGTGATTGTAAACAAATCTCCATCAACTATCACACATTTCTGCATCTCAACTACACACTTCATCAAGTTTGCGACAGCATTTTTGTCACTCAAGATTGGTTCGATTATCTCACTCTCGCCCGCCCACAAACCATTCTATATGCTGATGATTTTCTAGTTAGTGGTACATATCTTTTCCAAGGGATGCGTGCATTCTGTGATTTGAGTCGACAGACGATCGAGAATCGCTTGACTGAGTTCTATGCAACTCAGTACGTCAGCGCAGATGTGGTGCCTGATGAACTGTTTCAATTGCAAGCCGAATCACTTATTTCTCAGTTCATTTCGTCAACTATCAACAACTTCTTGTTGTCATTGTCATCGATTCGACAAACGACACAAAGCAATATTCTATTTTCAGCGCGGCAAACTAACTATGCACTTCTAATTTATCAAACTAACTTGATATATTCAATCCCATATTCATACAGCGGATGCAGTTGCGCAAGTTCAGCAAAATGTGCATATCAGTGCCGAATGTATAATGGCCTTCACCCAACAGTCTTATTCTATGTGCCAGGAATGTATATCGGATGTTATCCGGTCGAGTCACTATTACAATCAGATCTCCGATGTTGGTATAATCAATCATGCATCAGCCAAGTTCAATCATATTTCAACGCATCTGCACCGATGAATGTTACCGCTCTCAAAGCAGCTGTGTCGGAAGAGTTTGAGATGAACTCGACCATGGAGGAGATTCTTGGCAAGTTGATGATCGAAGAATGGTTTCCGACATTGATGTATGAGAATTATTACAATGCGTGTAGTCCATCGGAATGTTCGTATGTGGTCGAAGTGAGAAACAGTGTTGTTTACATAGTGACTACAGTGATTGGGGTGATCGGTGGCTTGGTTACAATATTAAGATTGATTGTGCCCCGTGCAGTGGCTCTCGTGAGAAAAAATCGGCAAGCAGAAACAACAGCAACACGTAAGTTGTTATCGACTCACACTGATCAATGAATCCACTTCATAAAAGAGGGTGTGATTGTTAGCAGTAGGGTGTTTTGTGATAGTTTTCTCTTTCAAAGTTATCAGTGGATTGAGTTAATTCAGAAACTTAGTTACTGGCTTTTTGTTTATCGGAAGACTATGAAGTGTCTCGTAAGAATTACTTTCAAATGGGCACAATAATGAGTATCTCCTTTTTTAGAAAGATATGGTACTTTGTGGCTTCTGTACTTTAGATGAATGAAAACGTCTGCATACATGTAGCATAAAAAACAGTTTATACTGAGCCGGAGACTTGGATACAAATGACGAGTTCTATTTCATTGGATTTGTAATGGGTATAGTAGCATATAGAAAGTGTGAAAACATGACTTATTTTTTTTATAAAGATTAGCTTGTCTAGCGGACAATTATTCCGAAGTTCTGGAGACAAAATCTTTTATCAGCGCGAGATAGATTTGCATTGTAACTGTGTACTAAAGATTGACATGAAACTTAACGAGCATTTTGAACTCGAGATTTTGCCTGAAGTTCAAATGACCTACTATTGTTATTTATTCTCAAAACAAAAAAATGTCTGTGACGGTATTGAAATAAATAGTCAACGCATAATTATGCAAGTAAACTTTCGTATAAGGATTGCTAGGTTTTATTGGATTTACCTTTGCGTTAAAGTCTGCCTTCCTGTTTGTTCTAATCTTTCACGTAAGCTGACCGCCACTGGTGATACTAGATACAGATACAATAAATGCATACGATAGTACCGGTATGTAGAGTTGAACGAGTATCCATAGATGTGTATCAGCGTTACCTATAAACATAGCTCATATTGTTGTAATGCTTCAAACTGTGAATTATCAACTACCAGACCTTATTCATGTTTATAATTCGCTGTCTTTATTGCACTCATTATAGAGGGGACAGACAACACGTGCGAAATTAGAATAATCATACGCAAGATAAAAACCTTTTTCAAGAATTTGAATGTCTTTCCATCGATACCACCCACTCAAGATCAACATCAACTTCGAAATCAACGCCTTTCTACACGACTTTTCATCGTCCTTCTCATCATCTCCCTTATCGTTCTCATTCTCTACACATCATTGATCACCATCACACAGACACTCAAATTCACTTCACCCTCAATCACACAATACCGTCAACTATATTCCACATATTCACAAACATTATCGTGTGATTGTAAACAAATCTCCATCAACTATCACACATTTCTGCATCTCAACTACACACTTCATCAAGTTTGCGACAGCATTTTTGTCACTCAAGATTGGTTCGATTATCTCACTCTCGCCCGCCCACAAACCATTCTATATGCTGATGATTTTCTAGTTAGTGGTACATATCTTTTCCAAGGGATGCGTGCATTCTGTGATTTGAGTCGACAGACGATCGAGAATCGCTTGACTGAGTTCTATGCAACTCAGTACGTCAGCGCAGATGTGGTGCCTGATGAACTGTTTCAACTGCAAGCTGAATCACTTATTTCTCAGTTCATTTCGTCAACTATCAACAACTTCTTGTTGTCATTGTCATCGATTCGACAAACGACACAAAGCAATATTCTATTTTCAGCGCGGCAAACTAATTATGAGCTTGGTGTCTATCAAAATGTCGTAGTGTATTCAATCCCATATTCATATAGCGGATGCAGTTGCGCAAGTTCAGCAAAATGTGCATATCAGTGCCGAATGTATAATGGCTTTCACCCAACAGTCTTATTCTATGTGCCAGGAATGTATATCGGATGTTATCCGGTCGAGTCACTATTACAATCAGATCTTCGATGTTGGTATAATCAATCATGCATCAGTCAAGTACAGTCATATTTCAACGCATCTGCACCGATGAATGTTACCGCTCTCAAAGCAGCTGTGTCGGAAGAGTTTGTGACGAACTCGACCATGGAGGAGATTCTTGGCAAGTTGATGATCGAAGAATGGTTTCCGACATTGATGTATGAGAATTATTACAATGCGTGTAGTCCATCGGAATGTTCGTATGTGGTCGAAGTGAGAAACAGTGTTGTTTACATAGTGACTACAGTGATTGGGGTGATCGGTGGCTTGGTTACAATATTAAAGCAAGCAATACCATTATTTGTGGAATTGAGCGTATTTTGTAGCCGTAAATGGAGGATGAACTATGGCCGTAATTCAGTGTTACCCGTCGTGTGAAGTAAGTACAGTTGAAGTTGCCCATGTAATTGTGTGTTTTACGAAGTTGGTACCTATTTTCTTATGCTATTCATTTTATTCTATGTATTGCTTTCTCTTCTAATCCGGACTGCATTTCTTTTATCAAGTTGTTATTCTGTACTATTGATTTCACACACAATAATGAAAACATGCTTTTGGCTTCTATCGTCTTACGATTTGGTTTTATGATGTTGTCTGCCTTGCTGCATTGTAATAATTGTTGGCCATTGTTCTGAATAAAGTTTTGAGTCAGCACAGTTTTCAAAGAGTATTTTGTGTGCGTGCAGGTGGTGCGAAATCTTGACATTACTCCCTTTCTATTGAGGGTATCAGAATGAATTTCGGTTTTTACGAGGATAACATCGTCATTCTTTGCTATATTGTCTATTTCAGGTTTCTTAGGATACCGTTTGGTTGGCCTTATAACTTTTACTAGAATTACAACAGTTAATTTAATGACGGAGAACGTTTTCTAGCTCTTCAGACGGTCAGTTTTAAGGGGACCCCCTCTCCGAAATCGATCTCGTGAACAGTGCAACGTATGCCAATGAAAATTTCAGGAGGTAGAAAACTTAATATGAACAGAATCTGATAAAATTTTCACCCAATGATTTATCGAAACTGAAAACTATCCGCGAAATACTCCCAAAAACAGGGCTCTCAGCGCGGAATATTTTTGGAACCTACGGTAGTACGAAAAATGACGGGGTTTGTTTCAGAACAAAGAAGGAACTTATGTCTAAAAATTGAAGGAACGGATTTTTAAAATTCGCTTTGGTTCATCTATAATGCTTATTTTCGCTTGAAAATCGCGAAAACTACTACTAGCGATTTCAGGAAGTTTCGTTTGTCTCAAGGACAATCACATATTTTTAAAATCTGTTCCTACAACAATTTCTAAGAAAATGTTTGCTCGTTCGAATAAAAAAAACATAAACTGTACGTTCAAGGATTGATCAGAAAAATATTCCGCAATGGGCAAAAAGTAAGCAAAACCAATCACAACATTGAGAGGAAAATTACGGTTTTTCACGTATAAATATCGGTAACATATTATACATCATTGGAAAGCCGTTAAAAAATCCTAACAATTTATGGTATTTTCGACAAAAAGGAAAGCTAATTTCGATAATTACATATATTTAGAATTGATTGTTGTGCCATCTTTTCAGGTATTTGCGCTGTTTTCAAGGTTTTTTCTACAATCACTTCAGCAACTTGTGAACAAAGTTAGTGGTGACTAGAAAGCTTTTTGATATTATAAATAGATTCAACACTAAATTAGATCGCGATAACTAAAGAAAAAAATCAATGGAAACCAGCTGTTTTCACTAGTGCTTCTAGAAAACGCCCCCAAACGGGTAAAATAAGTAGTATACATATGTAATTCATATATATTCTTGAAGAGGGCACTCATGGCTACAACAATATGTATTTTTTGAAGAATCGAATTTTTTGAAAAAAAATCGTTTTTCTGATGGGGTGCTCCTGAATTTCGTTTGACTTTTAAGAAATGTAAGGAAGAGAAGTATGCGGAAGATAAAACTTTTATATTTGGAAAAGAATTAAGCATTGGACTGAGTAATGCGATTAGTGATTCACTCTGGAATACAGTATTTTTAGAAAAACTAGATGTACTCTCAGTTTAGTCGAAACATAAAACGAAATTGTCGGCCAAGAATCAGCAGAGTCGCCAAGAAATGATAATATCGATAACACCAGCCTATTGCTGAATTATCTAAAGTTGTAGTGCTCATTGGTGTTCCATCATTCGTCGTTGTGGAACCAGTGGTGATTTTTGTTGTTGTTGCAGCAACCGTTGTTGTGGATGCGGTTGAACCAGTAGTTGCTGTTGTTGTTGGAGCAGCCGTTGTTGTGGATGCGATTGAACCAGTAGTAGTAGTAGTAGTAGTAATAGTAGTAGTTGTTGTTGTTGTTGTTGTTGTTCGAGCAGTAGTCGTTGTTGTTGAAGGACACACTGGTGGCACTTGCTCGCCGTATTCACCTTGAAAATTTCCTGGTGGATAATAGTTTGCTACGACATAAGCTGATTGACCATCACTAGAGAGCGCAATGCCGATGCCCATTTGAACAGAATCAGTCCAAACAACTTGTGTAAAGTGACCCGTGCCCGAACTGGAACCTGGGTTACTATAATCATAGTCCTCAATTTCACTGTACCAATCAGCAGTTGGTTTCGAACCTAGAGCAGGTAGAATGAAATTCTATTTGTTGAAATGTTCGCATTTTACCGTTGACATAGGTGATGCCTGCTGAATAAGATTCCATATATAAGTTTTCACCCACTCCATCTTCTCCACTGTGCTGAAAGGTTTCATAGTACGCTAAATATTCAGCATAGTTTTGCGCCATTGTATTCAGAGATGCATCTAATGACATTGGTTGGGTACAGTGGATTTGCTGACGATAGTAATTGTGTTGCGCGAGAGCCTCTTGACGAAAATGATCAAGATTGATTGCACCCATCGTCAGACAAGTGTTCATCAACAAGTAACTTAATAGTATTGAAAGGTGTTGCATTGTTCTGAAAATTATATCTGAAAACAACGAATGTAATAGTAAATTAATCAGAAAGGACTACTGTACAGATTGTTTTAGTCTTCTATGCTAACGTATGTATTTCCTTCTTGAGAAGAGATCTTTGTTTTCTTTCAGAGAAGCTGAGTCGATGAGCCTGGCAAACACAAAATTGTAAAAGTTTCTTCAACAGTATCAAGTTGCATGATTAGACAACTTACAGTAAAATCTATTTCACTTACTTCTCCCGTATAGCGAGCACATCAAATGACAATGGTTCTTGTCTTCTGTTCGCTCATTTTATAGCGAACAAAGCTCGAGAAAACAAAAACATTTTTATTATTCTATCGTACATTGAAAAATACCTTACTGCCATACTTGAAATTCAACGATCATAATAAGTAATAAACGGATTTTACTGCACTGGATATTTCCTAGTGCGATACGAAAAATCTTGAGAATCGTTTTATTGCGCACGAGAAATATTGTTGATAATTCCCGAGCAAAGATTCGTTTGAAACAGAAACTTATCTATCGAATAGAAATGAGGAGAGTGTTAAACATGTTTAATCTTTCGCTATTCGTTGTCGAAATAAGAAACAGTGGTAAATTCTCTCCTCTCATTCTACTTTCAATTACTTATTGATTCTTAATAAATACAGCATTTGTAATTTTCAACGATTTCAAATGGATGGTTATTACGACAAAATGCATATCTACCAAATAGTTCGTACGAAATCTAAATTAGTATAAAGATTTATACCATAAAACCCGATAACATGATCTTATGCGAAATTCCAACAATTCTGTGAATAAACCCAGATATACTCTCGGTATATATCCAAGAAAACGATAAAAGAATTATTCATGTCTGACTTTATGATAGTCGAAAGAGCATTTTTCAAGTTTCTGAGTGTCATTTACTACTTCATGTATCCTCGCTTATTGTGAATATTGATAAAAGTGTCTGCTTTATATTATATATTTGTTTATATCTCTGTAACTTGGCCGCTGTGAAGAAAATATCACAAGCCTCATGAGAGAAACGAGTAGTGTAGAAATCGCTAACTCCATTCGAGTATTAAACATTTTCTTCCAGTTTTCCTCTTCCAGCTCGTACGTGATTGACCGTAAATCCTTAAGCGACAGATTAATAACTATTATGTAACTGATAATTAAATATTAACTAAACCGATTACTTATTATCAATCGACGGACTATGACGTAATCGGTATCTGATTATTAAATACTACTTAATTATTTATTCGCTACATGATTATGAGTTATTAGTCAAAAAATGATTATGGATCGCGTTGCCGTTGACACTCAATATGCTATGTTGCGAGCTGCACCCTCCACAACACCCTCAATTCACTGACCCTTTATACTGAATAAAAAGTCAGATAATAAGTAATAATCAGTTAATAATTCGCATTTAGTTGGTGGATATTTAATAGTCAGTTAGTTAAGAGTTTAATCCTCGAGTAGTCTCTTCGACTTTTACATGTATGGCAATGAAAATGAAAGCGAAGCTGATAAGTAAGATGGACGAATAGTATAACAAAAGTTACAAATATAGATTACGAACGATTATTGATGAATTCGACGTCGCCAAGAACTCAGCGAGCTCTTATATGCGTTCATGTATGTCGTTGAAGGTACAACAAAGATCAGTATTGATGGTGCGAATGAAAAGAAATAGGAAATTAGGTACAACCACAAGTTTTGACATGTTCTGATGCATCCAGGTGGTGAAGAAACGACCAAACGAGGCATTGTTAAGATTAATAATGCGATCGGACTAATAATTGATTGCTTATGTTCATGGAACCGTTGACGAACATGTTCTTTATATGTTTGATCTGTTTGTGCTATTGATCGCTGTCGAGCAGATCCAAATATAATAAATAAAGCGGAAAATAAATTAGCAAGGAACGGAACGAGAAGATGAAAATATAAAATAAATGTGTTATATGTTTGAACAGACGATGAATAATGAATAACGCACGAAACATGTTGATTGATTGTATTTTGATAAATCGTATTGATTGATGTCTTATTCTTTTCTGATTCAAACTCATCTATTATAGTGTTTTCACTATTATTAAGATAGTCTCTGGCAATTTCAGTTTCATATTCGAACATTTCTCGATGTAATGGTTCATGAATGAGACTTGCCATGATCCACAATGGTAAAATGATCCATCGCGCAAAACGTTTGCTTTTATTTTTGATAAATCGAACATCTTTGAAAATATCAAAGTTGATTTCATCAATAGTCACGTTCATCGATATCTTGTCTATTGACATCAACAACGTCAAGAGAGAAGAGAAATTAAATAATGATCAGATTCCTTTTTAATGGCTCAATTACATATCTCCATTCATTATCATCTAAACCAATATTCCTCATCATGTTATGCGATTTCATCTTAATTAGTTAAGCAAAATAAATGCGGAAACTTCAGATTTTATCCGAAACTCATCTGTACTCTAAAAAGTGTATGACACTTAAGCTACAGAGCACTCTAAGTGTCATATCAAGATTTTACAATAAATAACAAAAGATAGATCCGGGGAACCGAGTATTGCGAACCCACACGAAATATTTTTATAAGACTATTCCCAAGAAACTTTCACGACAGCTAGAGAGACTTCATGAAAAACTCAAGGATGCTCTCCTTATTCAAAACTGAAGAACCCAAACCATCTCCACGCTATAGCACAAGTAGTGCTCATCCTTTGGATTCGCTGGCCCTTTTCTGAAAGAACGATTTAAGAAAAATCAATGTTGCATTAGGATAGATCTCGATTTTTTATATCTGATTTTATAAGCTACTTAAGTTATAAAGGGCACGAAATAGGTCGACTCGATTCGTGTATCGAAGTATTTATATGAAGACTTCGTCGGGAAATACACAATCCATGATTGTGAAATAAACTGCTCACTGAATGACATGCAGTTGTTAATGTGAAATTCATTTCGTTTTTGATCGTAAAAACATGAAGATCAGTTACCATTAATAAACTTTACGACTGGATTTACATTCTCCATAAAAGATGTTTGATTGGGGTTGGAGGGATACGCGTCTAGAGGATACTGCTTGAGGTTATATTGATTTATTATTCGGGGAGTAGCAAAAGTCATATGAAATCAATGTCTGCTTGTAAAAAAGGAAAATCAAAGCAGCACTTAAACACATTAACAACAAGAAGAGTAAGCTGATAACATGTTTACTAATGTGTTGTCGACAGATGCTCAACGAGAAAAGTTTCAAGATAATAAACACTGTGTACAACTCAAATCGTTCCGCAATGCTTGAATTATGAATTGCGTAACTCATATTCGACGAACAGTTATATGTCCATTCGGAATAGCCGCTGAACAGATTATCGAAATGGTGTCATTTTTTGGGATGAGAATAGCTACTTTTATCCTATCATCGATGTGCTCTGATCGGAGACACGGTTCCAATTACTCATCTTCATCAAATTTGATCATTAGTTCGCTTAATTTTTCCTAATACGGTCAAATCCCATATTACTTGAGACCATTGCAGTATCGACAAAATATACTGTCGACTAATTATATGCAATCCAGATAAAACTGATCCGATTGTCAAAAGCACATCATGAGCATTAAAACGTGTGAAATAAACGTGGATTGACTGTGCAGTCTTTGCCATACGACACTGATCTTCAGTGAGCTATTAATTCATTTAATTAACATTCTTGCTTGAGGCCTCATCTTTGCTTCCATTCATCCATTTATTAATTTTTTTATCGTTAACATTTCACACTTGTCTATAGCCAGCTCTCTCCAATCAGAAAACAAGTGTCAGACCAGTAAAGTCGATTCATACATGGGATCAACTCATATTCTCATCTTCATTCTAGACTTCTCAACATGAGCAACACCACCACGAACACAGCTCTCAACGATGAAACTCAATCAATCATTTTCTTCAATTTTCTTACCAAAATCCTCGCACAATGTCTCGATGGGTTTTCCTGGATCGTGGGCAACATCGGTGCCATTTGTATTTGCATTGTGTTTTCTCAACCAACATTCCGAAAGAGTCCATGTGCCATCTATTTCATCGCTTCCAGNTCGATGAATACACGCGAAGGGAATGTAGGATCGTGATAGAGTAGCTACCGCTTGGAGAAAATACAGTTCGAGTTTGCAGTAGCACGAAATTAATGAAATATCGATCGATGATGAGAAATTGTAGCACAATTAAACTAAGAGATACATTTGAAAGAGTATAGAACAAACAGGAATTTTGTCTAGAATTTTTCTAAGAAAGAATTATTAAACTACAGACACTTCCGATAGTCCCGATGAGATGTTCAATTGAATGAAGTTTAATGTGATAATCGATGGATCGATGTTAGTAGCATTTGACATAGTTTTTCCAGTTTTTGATAATGTAATAAGTAAACCGACTGATTTTTGGTAGTTCAAATATTTATCTATTTTTAGGCGTCAATAATGGCCTGGAATGTCGACTTTCCGGATTTGAAAATCTGATGAGATAAAGCGTCTTGTTAATTAAGTTGTAGTCTGTGATGTAAATAAATATTTTTCTTCTTCGACAGGCAGAAAATGCTCTGCTTTAAGTAAAAGAAGCCTTTTTTTTCTTAATGAAAGTCATATCGTGCTAAAGGGAAAACTCATAACACGAGTGAATTTCGTTACACTACACCGAGAAAACCTTATCTTATGTAATTGGGTTCAATGGTACAGGGAGCCACTAGAGATAAAATGTGCTACGATGCATGTCTTTAAAGGATATGTCGCAGCTCTCTCCCTGCTCGACTGAGTGGCATTTTCTTTTAATAAGTAGATGAGTCGATTATAGTGTGACGTTCGAAGGGTGTATGAGATAGGGCTTGCTGCGTACTGGTCGAGGTACAAATCTATATTTACATCGTTCTATAGTGTCAGTATAAAACTACACTTCTACCTTATCGAGCTATCCTTGTTTAATCAACATACTTTTCAAAAGAATATATCTTCCGAACAATCAAAACAAATTATACTTCATCTAAAATGGCGTGAGCGACAGTAATTTTTCCTCTGGATACAGTGAGTTAATTCAAAAGGGTCGGTAACTGGGATTGTAGTAATAACACCCAAGAAAGAAATACAATCGTGGTAATTTAGCAAATTTATATATACATCAATATTAACGACATGTAGACCATTTAATACCGGTTGAACATTTCACATAGTCACTATTTGAGAAAAAATATCATTCTTCGTATTTTGCTGAGTAAATCGTTCTGTTACAAAGAATTACTGATATCAAATACTGAAGTACTATCAAAAACATACACAGAAATGCATCTATTTATCTTAAATCATATTCGCATCTGCTTCAACACGTGCGATAAAAAATTTTCGAAGCTTATAATCGATCTTTTCTTCAGACGCCGATAATGAGTAAATCAGCTTGTATATTTTGCTTTTAGAGCCCGTATGACTACCGATATTTAATATTCGATAAGAATACGCCATTAAATACCGAATACAGCTACCGATCGATATTACCAAAATAAATATCATGGTTTTTCTCTTACTATACTCAATAACACATTTCAGGTGACTATCGATTCTAAGAAACGTATATTTTTCAATCTTTTGTTAATACTCGGGCGACCCAATGTCATATGATTATACGATTTGAGTAGTTATCTCGCTGATTCTGGAAGTCAAGACAGAAAAGTCCATACTTCAGAGACGTTTTATCAACTACAATCAGAATGCAGTCCTCATTTGAGTTGGTCGTTTGTATTGCATCGACCGCACTTTTCGACTGTTCTAAATCGCATCGAATATGGAAATGCGATGGTCTTGACGCATATAAAAAATACCAACGTGAGCATGCTGATCAACCTCTCAAGCCCGGTGTTGGATTTCCACTTGTTCAATCACTTCTACAGCTGAATAAAGTTGTAGACAAACCTATAGTCGATATCGTTCTTATCTCACGTAACGATGCTGTATCTGGACTACGCATCATCAATTCAATCGAATTTTACAAACTTTCGATTGAACGAATGTCATTCACATGTGGGGAAGAAGTTACTAAATATCTTTCGTGTTGGAATTGTGATCTTTTTTTAACTACAGAAGAAGAACAAGTCAGAAATGTACTTGCTGGTGGACATCCTCATTCATTGCAAGGCATAGCAGCTGGTTTGGTTTGTAACATCATATCTGAATCAATACCTGTTCAACCTGTAACCGTGTAAGTCAATGAGTTTCTCTACAATGATGTTGTGTCTTTCACTCTAGTACTGTTTGCAGTGCTACATCTGTTCTGCCTAACGTTTCATCGTGGCCAAAAGATCAGGTTCGTATTGTTTTCGATGGCGATGGTGTGCTATTTCTCGAAGAACCCCAGTCAACAGACTTGAAACAACCTAATCAGCAATCGGAAACGATTTCGCTTGCAAAAGGACCAATGCAGACGTTCGCTCTCAAATTGCAGAATGTGCGTCGAGCCTTAGGCGAGAACAATGAATGGCGAATACGCACTTTCTTAGTTACTTCAAGTAGTGGCGCCAATACCATACGACTTATCAACACTCTGAAAGAATGGGGCGTCGATCTTGATGAGACACACATCTTGAGCGGATTGAATAAGACACCTTTTCTACGTGTTATTGATCCCGCTATTTTCTTCGACAACTCCAATGAGCATTCCGAAGCATTCCTTCAGTTTATACCAGCTGTTCATATTCCTTCTAGTCGTCAAACTAGTCGAGCTAGTATTGATGACGTTGTACTGACAAGATCGCGCCATAATACCAAATCGTCTACATTCAACGAAGATGATTTCGACGAGTCGAAAAGTTGCTGAATAAAAGAACTCTCTGTTTTGGATATTTTCAAATACCTATACGACGAAATTACTTGGTACATATTTATTTCTTTACGAAAAAAAAACCATCCGGTGCATGTTGTTTTAATATAAAAATGTAAAATTTCATTTGCATATAATTTTATTTTGTCACCAACAGAGAACAATAAAGTTCCTTTTATTCAATATAAATAGAAGACGCGATACCATATAATAGCACTTTGATGAAATTCGATGGAGTTTTCAATAGAATGGCAGATTGAAATTGTGTATTTCATTTTCTGTTTTGTTTGGTTAGAGAACAAGAGACTGTAACCGTAATGGTAAGAAAATTATAGTTTTATGTCAATGTCCCCTGATTTCTACTTCTTTCTTTTTAAAAGAACGAAAATTACTTCGGTGAAGATACGTCTATTGATGTTTATAACACTCGTCGACCGTTATCGGCATACAAAACTTGTCTGGTTTGTTTCACAATTGGAATGCTGCTCGCAGGCATAGTCTTGGCAATATTACTGTCCATGTTATTAACAGGTAAGCTAATGTCAATGATAGTCTAACGTAATCACGCAAATATTCCGGATCATGTATGATGATATAGAAAACATTCAGCTTTTATAAGTGCGAATGAATACACTATGTTGGCTACATGAGGAAAAATAATCATCCAATTAATATTATACAACAGAAAATATAGTATTGAGTGTTAGGGAGAGCGAAAAAAATATAACTCCGGTATGAGTCTGTTTGATGCTTAGCAGAATGTCATGAACAGAAACTTGGTTTAAAGAAAATCTTTTGTTTTTATCTCTATGCTCGGATTAGTTACGACAACGACTACAACTACTACTACAACCACCACGACTAGTACGACGACCACCTCAACAACAACTACAGCGACAACTTCCACGTCAACTACAACAACAACAGGCAAGAGAGTTAATCTTTTTTGAGAGATGAAACTGAAGCAAATACAGCTTCACTATCGGTCATACACATACTTCTTGACACCATTTTCTGTATAGGTCCAATGTGTGTACCATTCTGGAGTATGCCCTCTACAGATCAAGGCACTTATTTGACATATCCAAATGCTAATACGCTGATTTCTGGTTATCTTAGTCGTAGTGTTTGCGCAACATTTCGCGCGAGTGCAGCAAATTTTGATAGTATCATATTTGCAATTGGCTCATCACTTACAACGGTGACCGGAGGATGCAATCAGCATTTCGCTTTATCTGTCATTAATGCCAGTTATGTCACTGTGTATGGTATGTGTGGGCCGTATGATAATTCCTATATTTACACTGGTCAAAATACACTCTATGACGGATATTTTCATCAGATATGTGTTACATACGATAACTCTAATGTACAACTGTGTATTTATCTCGATTCATCACCACCACAGTGTCTTATTCGAACAAATCCTCACTACAATACAGGTCTTGGTGATGTGCGGATCGGATGGTGGCCCGATTTAAATCGTAACTTTACTACAGCGGGCGGTGGGCTAATTAAATGGGTATCATTATTTGACCAGGCGATTAATCAAAGTTGTGTTGCGTACCAATATCAAAATAATTTTAGTGGATAGTCAGAAGATCGCCACGATCAATAATTTATATTTCGGCTCGTATTTATCACTCACTTTTTTGCATTACTGATATATTTTGTTGTAAAATACAATAATTTTAACTTCATATCGTATGAAATTGAAAGTGTTACATGATCTATGTCAATCTATGCCTATTCTTTCCTTCGTTACAGTGATAATTTTTAGAGTCAGTCTACCTTATAAAGCTTACTATTTGTACTCGCAGATAGGATACAGGTCGTAGTCCTTCTTAAGGGTCCGTTCACTAGCCTGTGAGGATAAATTTATTTATGAATAAAATTATAGGAAAAGCTCTAAATACGCGGAAAAAGCCACTCATATCGAATTTAAAAGTATTACTTGAATTTGAGTAGACGAGGTTGAACATGAAATGTCGACGAAGCGGTCGGTAATCCTTGAGATTGATGCTGTTGTCCATCGTGTATGTATTCTTGGAGTAGTGTTGTAACGAAATCTTTAAATTGCTCAATACTTAATCGATGAAACGAGGCAGCTTGTGCAGGAGTAATCTGTTTATAGCTAGTCGAAGAATCTGAGTCTGGTTCATTGTTCATTATATTCATCAACACACCTTTCAATATAGTATATGACTCCACTGAAACCTCTTTTCCAGCATTATTATTTTCTTTTTTACCACTGCACATGAATCTTACCAAAAACTTTCCATGATCAGGCCTATCAGGATATTTTTTATCGTCATAGTAAAAGCGGATTTGAAATTCAACTCGAGGTTGAATAAGCGAAGGATTCATCAGCCATATCTCGATCGCACGCTCAACTCCTGTTCTCCAATGCCGACTCATGTCTTTCCAACCTCGGTTGATATCTCTATTCTGAGGAAATAGATTGAAATCGACCATTTTCCCACCTAATGAACAAGCAATGATATGACCACAATCGTCGCCTTGTTTACCACGAGCTCGAATTTTCTTTGCTAAGTCGCGATTCGTCGATGTAGGTTGACCTGTACCAACATGACACGGATAAATTTCAGCCAGTAGCCAACATGTCTTTTGTCCTGTTTCGCCTGATGATAAAGATTGAACGCTGGCGTCACGAATCGGTAAATGGCCATCTGTGAGATTATAAGGACGATTATATCCATCTAAGTCTCGACGTAGATTATCGTATTGTTGTATATTTGCCAAATTGTCCTCAGAATCAGTGTCGCCTGCAATAGTAAAATCACCCATTGATCTAAAACTATGTTTCTCAAATAAAAACTCAAATGTGTCTGCGAAAAATCTACAAAGAAGCCTCAGTCAAATATAACGAAGATTACGGAAACTTCGACTTCATTCGACGGATATGTGTGTTACCAAAATTATTTGACGACACATCTGCGAACTACAAATCCGACTACTCAAGAGACCAAAATGTGTAAAAAAAGCCCCACTGCACTGTAACTGTCCTTTCAGAAATGATCGTCGAAATGAATGGACGATGAAATACACTCATTTTTTTTAGTAATGCATCCACTTTCTGAGTACATAAGGATAAAAACAAAAGCAAATAAAAATAAATACCGAATTGACATAACGAACGATAGAGTGCACTGTACTCCTATGAGTCTCTGTCATTGTATAGAATCAAAGCAAAGGAAGGAAAAAGAAAATAGTACTATATTGCACATGTTAAAGAGATTGTTATGTATATGTGTGTGAAAGATCAAACGATCGATTTATTCATATAATATAAATAATTGATGAACGTAGANAGTAGCTACCGCTTGGAGAAAATACAGTTCGAGTTTGCAGTAGCACGAAATTAATGAAATATCGATCGATGATGAGAAATTGTAGCACAATTAAACTAAGAGATACATTTGAAAGAGTATAAAACAAACAGGAATTTTGTCTAGAATTTTTCTAAGAAAGAATTATTCAACTACAGATACTTCCGATAGTCCCGATGAGATGTTCAATTGAATGAGGTTTAAGGTGATAATCGATGGATCGATGTTATTAGCATTTGACATGGTTTTTCCAGTTTTTGATAATGTAATAAGTAAACCGACTGATTTTTGGTAGTTCAAATATTTATCTATTTTTAGGCGTCAATAATGGCCTGGAACGTCGACTTTCCGGATTTGAAAATCTGATGAGATAAAGCGTCTTGTTAATTAAGTTGTAGTTTGTGATGTAAATAAATATTTTTCTTCTTCGACAGGCAGAAAATGCACTGCTTTAAGTAAAAGAAGCCTTTTTTCTTAATGAAAGTCATCGTGCTAAAGGGAAAACTCATAAAACCAATGAATTTCGTTACACTACCGAGAAAACCTTATCTTATGTAATTGCGTTCAATGGTACAGGGAGTCATTAGAGATAAAATGTGCTACGATACATGTCTTTAAAAGATATGTCGCAGCTCTCTCCCTGCTCCACTGAGTGGCATTTTCTTTTAATAGGTATATGAGTCGGTTATAGTGTGACATTCGAAGGGTGTATGAGATAGGGCTTGCTGCATATACTGGTAGAAGTACAAATCTATATTTAGATCGTTCTATAGTGTCAGTATAAAACTACACTTCTATACCTTATCGAGCTATCCTTGTTTAATCAACATACTTTTCAAAAGAATATATCTTCCGAACAATCAAAACAAGTTATACTTCATCTAAAATGGCGTGAGCGATGGTAATTTTTCCTGTGGATACAGTGAGTTAATTCAAAAGGACTAGTAACTGGGATTGTAGTAATAACACCCAAGAAAGAAATACAATCGTGGTAATTTAGCAAATTTATATATACATCAATATTAACGACATGTAGACCATTTAATACCGGTTGAACATTTCACATAGTCACTATTTGAGAAAAAATATCATTCTTCATATTTTGCTGAGTAAATCGTTCTGTTACAAAGAATTACTGATATAAAATACCGAAGTACTATCAAAAACATACACAGAAATGCATCTATTTATCTTAAATCATATTCGCATCTGCTTCAACACGTGCGATAAAAAATTTTCGAAGCTTATAATTGATCTTTTCTTCAGACGCCGACAAAAGAAGGCTTCACGTATTGCCGATAATGAATAAATCAGCTTGTATATTTTGTTTTTAGAGTCCGTATGACTACCGATATTTAATATTCGATAAGAATATGCCATTAAATACCGAATATGGCTACCGGTCGATATTACAAAAATAAATATCACGATTTTTCTCTTACTATACTCAATAACACATTTCATGTGACTATCGATTCTGAGAAACGCATATTTTCAATATTTTGTTAATACTCAGACGACGCAATATCATACGATTATACGATTTGACTAGTTATTTCGTTGATTCTAGAAGTCAAAGCAAAAAGTCCATACTTCAAGGACGCCTTATCAACTCTAATCAAAATGCAGTCCTCATTTGAGTTGGTCGTTTGTATTGCATCGACAGCACTTTTCGACTGTTCTAAATCGCATCGAATATGGAAATGCGATGGTCTTGACGCATATAAAAGATACCAACGTGAGCATGCTGATCAACCTCTCAAGCCCGGTGTTGGATTTCCACTTGTTCAATCACTTCTACAGCTGAATAAAGTTGTAGACAAGCCTATAATCGATATTGTTCTTATCTCACGTAACGATGCTGTATCTGGGCTACGCATCATCAATTCAATCGAATTTTACAAACTTTCGATTGAACGAATGTCATTCACATGTGGCGAAGAAGTTACTAAATATCTTTCGTGTTGGAATTGTGATCTTTTTTTAACTACAGAAGAAGAACAAGTCAGAAAGGTACTTGCTGGTGGACATCCTCATTCATTGCAAGGCATAGCAGCTGGCTTGGTGTGTAACATCATACCTGAATCAATACCTGTTCAACCTGTAACTGTGTAAGTCAATGAGTTTCTCAACAATAATGTTGTGTCTTTCACTCTATTATTGTTTGCAGTGCTACACCTGTCCTACCTAACGTTTCATCGTGGCCAAAAGATCAGGTTCGTATTGTTTTCGATGGCGATGGTGTGCTATTTCTCGAAGAACCCCAGTCAGCAGACTTGAAACAACCTGATCAGCAATCAGAAACGATTTCGCTTGCAAAGGGACCAATGCAGACGTTCGCTCTCAAATTGCAGAATGTGCGTCGAGCATTAGGCGAAAACAATGAATGGCGAATACGCACTTTCTTAGTTACTGCAAGTAGTGGCGCCAATACCATACGACTTATCAACACTCTGAAAGAATGGGGCGTCGATCTTGATGAGACACACATCTTGAGCGGATTGAATAAGACACCCTTTCTACGTGTTATTGATCCTGCTATTTTCTTCGACAATTCCAATGAGCATTCCGAAGCATTCCTTCAGTTTATACCAGCTGTTCATATTCCTTCTAGTCGTCAAACTAGCCGGGCTAGTATTGATGACGTTGTACTGACAAGATCGCGCCATAATACCAAATCGTCAACATTCAACGAAGATGATTTCGACGAGTCGAAAAGTTGCTGAATAAAAGAACTCTCTGTTCTGGATATTTTCAAGTACCTATACGACGGAATTACTTGGTACATATGCATTTCCTTACGAAAAAAAACCTCCTCTGTGCATGTTATTTGAATGTAAAAGTATAAAATTTCATTTGCATATAATTTTATTTTGTCATCAACGAAGAACAATAAAGTTCCTTTTATGCAATATAAACAGAAGACGCGATACCATATGAGAGCACTTTGATGAAATCCGATGTACTTTTAAATAGAATGGTAGATTGAAATTGTGTATTTCATTTTCTGTTTTGTTTGGTTAGAGAAAAGGAGACTGTAACCGTAATGGTGAGAAAAATATAGTTTTATGTCAATGTCCCCTGATTTCTACTTCTTTCTTTTTAAAAGAACGAAGATTACTTCGGTGAAGATACGTCTATTGATGTTTACAACATTCGTCGACCATTATCGGCATACAAAACTTGTCTGATTTGTTTCACAATTGGGATGCTGCTCGCAGGCATAGCCTTAGCAATATTACTGTCCATGTTGCTAACAGGTAAGCTAATGTCAATGATAGTATAACGTAATCACGAAAATATTCCGGATCATGTATGATGATATAGAAAATATTCAGCTTTTATAAGTGCGAATGAATACACTATGTTGGCTATATGAGGAAAAATAATCATCCAATTGATATTATACAACAGAAAAGATAGTATTGAGTGTTAGGGAGGACAAAAAAAATATAACTCCGGCATGAGTCTGTTTGATGCTTAGCAGAATGTCATGAACAGAAACTTGGTTTAAAGAAAATCTTTTGTTTTTATCTCTATGCTCGGATTAGTTACGACAATGACTACAACTACTACTACAACCACCACGACTAGTACGACGACCACCTCAACAACAACTACAGCGACAACTTCCACGTCAACTACAACAACAACAGGCAAGAGAGTTAATCTTTTTTGAGAGATGAAACTGAAGCAAATACAGCTTCACTATCGTTCATACAAATATTTCTTGACACCATTTTCTGTATAGGTCCAATGTGTGTACCATTCTGGAGTATGCCCTCTACGGATCAAGGCACTTATTTGACATATCCAAATGCTAATACGCTGATTTCTGGTTATCTTAGTCGTAGTGTTTGCGCAACATTTCGCGCGAGTGCAGCAAATGTTGATAATATCATATTTGCAATTGGCTCATCATTTTCAACGGCGACCGGAGGATGCAATGAGCATTTCGCTTTATCTGTCATTAATGCCAGTTATGTCACTGTGTATGGCATGTGTGGGCCGTATGATAATTCTTATATTTACACTGGTCAAAATACGCTCTATGACGGATATTTCCATCAGATATGTGTTACATACGATAACTCTGATGTACAACTGTGTATTTATCTCGATTCATCACCACCACAGTGTCTTATTCGAACAAATCCTCACTACAATACAAGTCTTGGTGATGTGCGGATCGGATGGTGGCCCGATTTAAATCGTAACTTTACTGCAACGGGGGGTGGGTTAATTAAATGGGTGTCATTATTTGACAAGGCCATTAATCAAAGTTGTGTTGCGTACCAATATCAAAATAATTTTAGCGGATAGTCAGAAGATCGCCACGATCAATAATTTACATTTCAGCTCGTATTTATCACTCACTTTTTTGCATAGCTGATATATTTTGTTGTAAAATACAATAATTTTAACTTCATATTGTATGAAATTGAAAGTGTTACATGATCTATGTCAATCTATGCATATTCTTTCGTTTGCTATAGTGATAATTTTCAGAGTCAGTCTACCTTATAAAGCGTTAAAACTTGATATTTGTACTCGTAGATAGGATACAGGTGGTAGTCATTCCTAACGGTCCGTTCACTAGCCTGTGAGGATAAATTTATTTATGGATAAAATTATAGAAAAAGCTCTAAATGCATGGGGAGAAGTCACTCATATCGAATTTAAACGTATTACTTGAATTTGAGTAGACGAGGTTGAACATAAAATGTCGACGAAGCGGTCGGTAATCCTTGAGATTAATGCTGTTGTCCATTGTGTATGTATTCTTGGAGTAGTGTTCTAACGAAATCTTCAAATTGCTCAATACTTAATTGATGAAACGGCGCGGCTTCTTCAAGAGTAATTTGTTTATAGCTAGTCGAAGAATCTGAGTCTGGTTCTTTGTTCGTTTTATTCATCAACACATCTCTCAATTCACTATATGTCTTCGCTGAAACCCCTTTTCCAGCATTATTATTTTCTGTTTTACCACTGCACATGAATCTTACCAAAAACTTTCCATGATCAGGCCTATCAGGATATTTTTTATCGTCATAGTAAAAGCGGATTTGAAATTCAACTCGAGGTTCAACAAGCGAAGGATTCATCAGCCATATCTCGATCGTACGCTCAACTCCTGTTCTCCAATGCCGACTCATGCCTTTCCAACCTCGATTAACATCTCTATTCTGAGGAAATAGATTGAAATCGACCATTTTCCCACCTAATGAACAAGCAATGATATGACCACAATCGTCGTCTCGTTTACCACGATCTCGAATTTTCTTTGCTAAGTCGCGATTCGCCGCTGTAGGTTCACCTGTGCCAACATGACACCGATAAATTTTAGCCTGTAGCCAACATGTCTTTTGTCCTGTTTTGCCTGATGATAAAGATTGAACGCTAGCGTTACAAATCGGCGAATGGCCATCTGTGAGATTATCAGGCCGATTATATCGATCTAAGTCTTGGCGTAGATTATCGTATTGTTGTATATTTGCCAAATTGTCCTCAGAATCAGTGTCACCTGCAATAGTAAAATCACCCATTGATCTAAAACTATGTTTCTCAAATAAAAACTCAAATGTGCCTGCGAAAAATCTACAAAGAAGTCTCAGTCAAATATAACGAAGATTACGGAAACTTCGACTTCATTCGACGGATATGCGTGTTACCAAAATTATTTGACGACACATCTGCGAACTACAAATCCAACTAGTCTAGAGACCGAAATATGTAAAAAAAAAACCCACTGCACTGCAACTGTCCTTTCAGAAATTATCGTCGAAGTGAATGGACGATCAAACACACTGATTGTTTTTTAGTAATGCACCCACTTTCTGAGTACATAAAGATAAAAACAAAAGCAAATAAAAATAAATACCGAATTGACATAACGAACGATAGAGTGCACTGTACTCCTATGAGTCTCTGTCATTGTATAGAATCAAAGCAAAGGAAGGAAAAAGAAAATAGTACTATATTGCACATGTTAAAGAGATTGTTATGTATATGTGTGTGAAAGATCAAACGATCGATTTATTCATATAATATAAATAATTGATGAACGTAGACTTTTATTCTTTATCTGCTAGTTTCAACCATACAAAAATGATCTCGATATGTTTCTGACCGTTCAAATGACCGTTTTGAAGCGTTCTTTCAGTTTTTATTAGCTTCACATATTCGTTCTAGCATTGACATTCAATCGGAGTTGATTTCGACGAATGGAAAGGTTGCTGAAACATTCATAATACATTTCGATACATCTACTTTTGCAAATCGTCCACTGCTTGCAAGATCTCTAGTGTCAATATGATGATAATAGTTAAACTTAAGTTCGCGCTGTGGACGCTACACGATTATTTCTGTATTTTGTTATACAGAAGGCAACAAACGAAACCAGTCGCGGTACCGTCTGCTTTAACACTGTTATTAAGCCTCCTATCAGTCCGATGATCATGGTAACAATATAAACAATGCTGTTCTTAGTTTCGTGAGTGTAAGTACATTTCGATGGAGCACATTCACTATAATAGCTTTCATAGGTTATTGATGGAAACCATTGTTCGACCATTAACTTGTCGAGGATATCTTCCAGAGTTGAGTTCACCATAAACTCCACTGATACATTTGGATCCATCGCTGTGACGTTCATTAGTGTTGATCCATTCAGAGAAGACAGAACTTCACTTATACACGTTTGATTGTAGAAACATCGAAGATCTGATTGCAATAAGGATTCAACAACGTAGCATCCAACGTACATACCTGGTATAACGAATGTTCTTGTTCCGTTTCCGAAGTCATAGATTGGAATTTCAGATACACATTTCCCTGTGGTCGCGCAACTGCAATTACCATATGAGACTGGATAGGAATTAAAGTAGCGGTTTTTATACACTGTATATACGAAATTAGTTTGTAATCCGGACAACAAAGAATTGCCTTGAGTAATCTGTCTTGTCGAGGAAAGTGATAATAGAAAATTATTTATTGCCAATGAAATGAATTGAGAGATGAGGGATTCGACTTGCAATTCAAATAATTGTGGAGGTATAACGGATGAACTGATCAATTGCGTTGAATAGAATTGAGTTAGACGATTTTCGATTGTGTGATGACTTAAATCACAAAAAGCTCCCATTGCTTGAAAAGCATTCTCACCATTATATGGAAAATAAATACCGTAGAAGCTTATTCCACGAGCACGTAGCATATAATTGATCCAATCTTTGGTAGCGAAAACACTACTGCAGATCTGATGTAGACTATAGTTCAGGTGCACAAATGTGTCGTAGTTGATCGATATTTGTCTGCAATCACACGATAGTGTTTGTGGATAGGTAGAGTATAATTGGATATATTGTGCCATGGTTGGTGAGTCAACATTAACCGTTTGAGTGATGTTGATGAGGGATGTGTAGAGTATGAGAATAGTCAGTGAGAGAGCGAGAAGGACGATGAACAATCGTGTAGAGATACGCTGGTTGCGAAGTTCGTATTGATCTTCAGTTGGTGGAATCGATGAGAATATATTGAAGTTTTTCAAAAAGAGCTGGATTTCATTTGGTTTCATTTTCATCCAGTTTCTTCTGTTATTATCTACTAATTAGGGACGTTCTCAATCACAACTACTTTTCAAGCAAAACTTACTTGCTTCTGATGTTCTTGTTTGTAGTCTTCGCCTCACAATGCCGACTACACGTGGCACAATTAACTTCAGTACTGTCATCAATCCACCAATCAGTCCGATAATCGTAGTAATGATGTAAATGATACTGTTTCTCGTTTCATATGTGTGAGTACATTTCAATGGAGCGCATTCATTATAATAGCTTTCATAAATAATCGATGGATACCACTGTTCAACCATTAACTTATCAAGAATCTCTTCCAGAGTTGAGTTTACCATAAACTCTGTTGATACGTTTGGATTGAGCTCCGTAACATTCATTGGCGGTGCCGCGGTGAAATAGGATTGTACCTCAGTTATGCACGAATGATTATACCAACATCGAAGATCTGATTGCAACAACGACTCAACAGGATAACATCCAACATACATACCTGGAACAATATACAATACTATTGAACTCAGCCCGTTGAGGATAGGATATGGTGCTGAACATGTAGGTGTAACTGCACAACTACAGTTGCCGTATGAGACTACGTAGGCATTTATAAACAAGTTTCGGTACAGTTTAAGTGCAAGATTAGTTTCCAGAATAGGAAGCAAAGCATTGCTGTGAGTCATTTGTCTAATCACTGAAAGCGATAGTAGAAAGTCGCTAATTGTTGATGAAATGAATTGAGAAATGAACAACTAGATTTGAAGTTTGAATAGTTGTGAAGAGACCACGAATGCACTAACATATTGAATCGAATAAAATTGAGACAATCGATTCTGAATTGTTTGATCGCTCAAATTACAAAATGCCTGCAGTGCTTGAAAAATATATGTGCTGCCAATTCGAAAATCGTTCAAGTACAAAGTTGTCGTTGAACGAGCACTGTGAATATAATCGAACCATTTTTGAGTAGTGAAAACACTACTGCAGATTTGATGTAGACTATAGTTCAGGTGCACAAATGTGTCGTAGTTGATCGATATTTGTCTGCAATCACACGATAGTGTTTGTGGATAGGTAGAGTATAACTGGAGATATTGTGCCATGGTTGGTGAATCGACATTAACCGTTTGAGTGATGTTGATAAGGGATGTGTAGAGTATGAGAATAGTCAGTGAGAGAGCGAGAAGGACGATGAACAATCGTGTAGAGATACGCTGGCTGCGAAGTTCGTATTGATCTTCAGTTGGCGGAATCGATGGGAATATATTGAATCGTTCTATACATTCTTTCAGTAACTGAACATTACTTTGGCTGTTTTCTTGTTCAGGTGATGCTGTAATAAAAATACAAAGTCGCTATTGATACACCCTGTATCAGCAAGTTACTCATCTATGAATTAGACTGAATTCTTATCAAATTTATGGTAGTGCATGCAATGATACTTATATTTAAAAATCGTACCTGCTTCTCTCGTTTGTCTTTGTCGTCTCCTTCGAACCAAACTAACTACACTAGGAAAAATTAATTTTAATATTGTTATTAATCCACCAATTAGTCCGATAATCGTAGTGATGATGTAGATAGCACTGTTCTTTGTTTCATACATGTAATTGCATTGGGATGGAGCACATTCATTATAATAGCTTTCATAAGTTATCGATGGATAGCACTGTTCAACCATTAATTTGTCAAGAATATCTTCCAGAGTTGAGTTCACATTGAATCCCACTGATACATTCGGATCCAGTGCTTTAAAATTGATTGGCGTTGATCCATTGAGATACGATTGTATCTCGCTGATACACGTTCGATTGTAGAAACATCGAAGATCTGATTGCAGCAATGATTCAACAGCGTAGCATCCAAAATACATACCGGGCACAATGAATAATATTGTTGTATTTGCACCGTTCATAATCGAATACTCCACTTTACATTTGGGTGTAGTTGCACAACTACAGTTGCCATACTTATAAGAGAGTGGTAATATATAGGAGCTTGAATATATATAAAGCATGAAATTAGTCTGTAATGCTGGCAATAAAAGATTACTCTGAGTTATCTGTCTGATCGATGAAAGCGATAGTAGAAAGTCGCTAGTTGTTGATGAAATGAATTGAGAAATGAATGCTTGGATTTGAAGTTCAAATAACTCTTCCGATACCACAGATGAACTGACAAATTGGCTCGCATAGAATTGAGTCAGACGATTGTCGATGGTCTGACTGGTTAAATCACAAAATGCCCGTAATGTTTGGAAAACATTTCTACCACTAGCACGAAAATCATTGTTATATAAAAATCCCAAAGGACGAGCACGTAACATATAATCGAACCATTCTTGAGTGGTGAAAACACTACTGCAGATCTGATGTAGACTATAATCCAGGTGCACAAATGTGTCGTAGTTGATCGATATTTGTCTGCAATCACACGATAGTGTTTGCGGATAGGTAGAGTATAATTGGATATATTGTGCCATGGTTGGTGAATCGACATTGACTGTTTGAGTGATGTTGATGAGGGATGTGTAGAGTATGAGAGTGGTCAGTGAGAGAACGAGGAGGACGATGAACAATCGTGTAGAGATACGCTGGCTGCGAAGTTCGTATTGATCTTCAGTTGGCGGAATCGATGGGAATATATTGAAGTTCACGATATACAGCCGCAACTTTCGCAACAGTTCACCAAAATCAAAAGACATACTTCGACTAAAACTTCATAAATGACAACACTGACATGAGCTATATGAACGTGAATTGCATTTTATGTCAAAATTGATGAGAAAATGCCTTGCAATAGTTTCGAAAGGGATCGCTGCAACGAAATTTCTCGTCATTCTTCTTTTCATCCGTCTTCGAACAGTTCTCATCTGTACTCATTTTGACTCTTAAAAGTCGCTTGCTCGATGCGAAACTCAAAAGGCAAAGACGAACAGTATACTCACCGATGATAATATTTTGTAAAAAGAAACGTTTTTCTTTCCGTGATGAATACGGATGTAAACGAGTTGCTTTTCTTTAAATATAGACACAACAAAGAGATTGTTTTATTTCTACGGAGAGACAGTTTTTCATCAGTAAAAAAGAACCTTTTTAATTTCTAAAGTTGTAAATAAAACAGCAGGAAGAAGACATTTCGGTTTCACCTCTTTACTTTCAAAATGATAGAAATTTATTTTGAGCGTTTTTTTTGTCCTTCAATAGTTTTGAATTAATAAAGATATGATCGAAAAAAGGGCATTCGACAATATAATTAAGGAATGAATGTTTTAGTTTCTTTTCTTCAAAAAGCACATTCAGAGTGCAATGTCTTGTTTATTTGAGTAAGTACAAACACTGATTTTCTTCAAGAATGTAGTATCACGTCTAAGGAGAAGTGTGATGATAAACCTTTGTGAAGATATTTTTTATTGATCCCTATAACAATGTATGAAAACGTTCTGCACTATACTATAGCGACTAGGAATTTGTTAGAATTGACAATAATGTGTGGATTTCAATCGTGTTTTTTTGCAACGAGTAGAAACTTTATTATGAAACCAACTGACAAGCTCCGATCAGGGTAAGCAAAACAATTTCGAAGATTGTTCGAGCAGAAAATTTTGGAATTTAAAAGAATAAAGTTGTTTCCACTTCCTTATGGTCGGAAATTATATTAATCTTTCAAAGACTTTCCTTCCCAAGTGTTTTGACAGATTCTGCACTAAAGACTTCATCCGTTGAAAATCCTTAAACATATTCGTTTTTCTTGAATGAGGTTCTCTATATCGATTGAAATACGCACTTCAATCATTCACATAGCATCTTCAATTAGCCTTATTCACTGAAAACGAATCACTTCCGTGTAAATCATATATTATTGAATACATAGAGTATTATTAAGTATAAATTACCGCACCTGGACGTCAAAATAATTTTAGAGTCGATTAAATGCATACAATCTTTTCTTCTCAGTCTATATAAATGCACGACTTCGATATTTTTTTGCAAAAAAAAACGTCGACGATGAAACTGTTTCTTTTACTTGTGGTATTATTCAGTAGTTCGATGTGTGTTTCTAGTATCATTTGCTATTTTGGAATAACAAAGTACATATTTCCAGTGGTAACGGTTGATACTGAGACAACAGCTGAAAAATGTGATAATGATACATGTACATGTGCGAGTTATAAATATATCTGTCGTGCTGGTGATTCAACTTGTACAAACGAAGAACAACAAGGTCAAACACAAAAATGGGTTTTGACTGTACTAGGTAAAAAGGCGTGTCAACCACTTCAGAACATGTCAAATACGAGATATTTAAATGTTACCTGTTGTCATACAAACTATTGTAATAATCAACATTTGAATACTGCTAATACAACGAAATCATGTTTTCTCTTCTATATTGCCATTGTCGTGCTTATTTTTATTTCTAAATAAATCGATACTCGTATCGAAATTCACCATAAGATCGTCTTTGTACATTAGTACTAATCAATCGCGTCCTCAACTGTCAAAATCATAAATAAGTGTAAAGCGATAAGATACTAACTTAAAAATAGAGCTTATTTTAAGCAAAGATTAATTTTTAACAGTTAAATTAAGAAAATTTTCAGCGGTTCATGATAATCATAAAGTTGTGCAGTAGACCATACTGGACTTTATTGCTCGATTAGGAGTTGTTCTGATACTATTTCCCATGCATTTGAAGAATCAATGGCTAATAAAAACAAATATATTACGATATAGTTCAAGTTGAAAATGAGAAGATTTAGTCTATTGGTAAAACCTATCGTTTGTAAATTACGAATAAAAATGTCGATTTCGTTCTTTTCTGTCATCATCTTCAGAGAAAATTCATCGAATTCGAGTAGGTCTTCAAATGTTCACAGAGCTTGAATTTTATCTCTCGATAATTTCCTGCATTCAATCAATTGCATGTTTCATGCATCGGATATTTGTCTTCTAAGTAAATAAAAATACAAAAATCTTTCGCTTTTTGGGTGCCATGCAAATCGAAAAGATAGACTTAATTTAAGAAGTGCAAATATTAATTTCAATCTCCTGCCAACTAAACAATAATTAAAAGTTAATAACATGTTTGACGGTACTCTTCTAGCTTACGACCATTTGAGGCAGATAATCTATCTTCAGATTTTTTTTTCCTATGCATCACAAGAGTTACGAATTTCAATATTAGCTATAATAGGAAAGACTTTTTCCTAGACAAAACTAGTTTGTTGTTTGACAGAAAACTTTAAGCACTACAATCTAATAAAGTGTTTTCAAAGCACATAATATCAGATATGAACCAACGTAACATCATCGTTGTCATAGCAGTTCTCTTTTCTTAACTTTTGAGTCCATATAACTAATTATTTTATTTGAAATACTCATCTTTCTTCACCTCGAAAGCATTCGGTAGCTTCACATCGGAAAGCGGATGAGTCTGGGAGGTCTAAGTCAGTCGCACATAATTCTTTCGGTTTACAAAAACATATGCACTATTTTTATCTGAACACCAATATGTCAAATAAACACCTCACTTCGAAAAGTGTCGATTCATACATGAGGTCAGCTCATATTCTCATCTTCATTCTAGACTTCTCAACATGAGCAACACCACCACGAATACAGCTCTCAACGATGAAACTCAATCAATCATTTTCTTCAATTTTCTTACCAAAATCCTCGCACAATGTCTCGATGGGTTTTCCTGGATCGTGGGCAACATCGGTGCCATTTGTATTTGCATTGTGTTTTCTCAACCAACATTCCGAAAGAGTCCATGTGCCATCTATTTCATCGCTTCCAGCGTCTCGCAGCTATTCGTTTTCAACTCTGCTGTGTTCATNTTTCTGTATTTTGTTATACAGAAGGCAACAAACGAAACCAGTCGCGGTACCGTCTGCTTTAACACTGTTATTAAGCCTCCTATCAGTCCGATGATCATGGTAACAATATAAACGATGCTGTTCTTAGTTTTATGTGTGTAAGTACATTTCAATGGAGCACATTCATTATAATAGCTTTCATAGGTTATCGATGGAAACCATTGTTCGACCATTAACTTGTCGAGAATATCTTCCAGAGTTGAGTTCACCATAAACTCCACTGATACATTTGGATCCATCGCTGTGACGTTCATTGGTGTTGATCCATTCATAGAAGACAGATTCCACTTATACACTTTTGATTGTAGAAACATCGAAGATCTGATTGCAATAATGATTCAACAACGTAGCATCCAACATACATACCTGGTATAACGAATGTTCTTGTTCCGTTTCCGAAGTCATAGATCGGAAATTCAGATACACATTTGGGTGTCGTCGCGCAACTACATCTATACCATATGAGACTGTAAAGGAATTAAAGTAGCGGGTTTTATATACTACATATACGAAATTAGTTTGTAATCCGGACAACAAAGAATTGCCTTGAGTAATCTATCTTGTCGAGGAAAGCGATAATAGAAAATTACTTATTGCCGATGAAATGAATTGAGAGATGAGGGATTCAACTTGCAGTTCAAATAGTTGTGGAGGTATAACGGATGAACTGATCAATTGCGTTGAATAGAATTGAGTTAGACGATTATCGATTGTGTGATGACTTAAATCACAAAAAGCTCCCATTGCTTGAAAAGCATTCTCACCGTTATATGGAAAATAAATACCGTAGAAGCTTATTCCACGAACACGTAGCATATAATTGATCCAATCTTTGGTATAGTGAAGACACTACTGCAGATCTGATGTAGACTATAGTTCAAGTGCACAAATATGGCGTAGTTGATCGATATTTGTTTGCAATCACATGACAGTGTTTGTGGATAGGTGGAGTATAACTGGAGGTATCGTGCCATGGTTGGTGAGTCGACATTGACCGTTTGAGTGCCGTTGATGAGGGATGTGTAGAGTATGAGAATGATCAGTGAGAGAGCGAGGAGGATGATAAACAATCGTGTAGAGATACGCTGAGTTTGAAGTTCGTATTGATCGTCCGATGGTGGAATCGATGAGAAGATATTGAAGTTCACTGTATACAGCCGCAACTTTCGCAATAGTTCACCAAAACCAAAAGTCATGTTTTCGACTAAAACTGCATAAATGACAATACTGACATGAGCTATATGAAGATGTCTTGTAATAGTTTCGAAATAGATCGCTGCAACGAAATTTCTCGTCATTCTTCTTTTCATACATCTTCGAACAGTTCTCATCTGTACGCATTTTAACTTTTAAAACTCACTTGCTCGATGCGGAATTCAAAAAGCAAAAACGAACAGTATACTCACCAACAATAATATTTTGTAAAAAGAAACGTTTTTCTTTCCGCGATGGCTACACATGTAAACGAGTTGCTTTTTTAATATAGACATAATCAAGAGACAGTTTTTCATCAGTAAAAAGAACTTTTTTTAATTTGCAAAGTTGTAAATAAAACAGTAGGAAAAAGACATTTCGGTTTCACCTATTTACTTTCAAAATGATAGGAATTTATATTGAGCGTTCTCTTTGCCCTTCAACACTTTTGAATTAATAAAGATATGATCGAAAAAAAGTGCATTCGACAATACAATTAAGTAAGGAGAAGTGTGATGATAAACCTTTATCAAGATACTTTTTATTGATCTCTATAACAATGTACGAAAACGTTCTGCACTGTACTATAGCGACTAGGAATTTGTTACAATTAAGAATAATGTGTGGATTTCAATCGTGTTTTTTTTTGCAACGAGTAGAAACTTTATTATGAAACCAATTGACAAGTTTCGATCAAAGTAAGCAAAACAATTTCGAGAATTGTTCGAGTAGAAAATTTTGGAGTGTAAAAAAATAAAGTTGTTTCCACTTCCTTATGGTTTGAAATTATATTCATCTTCTAAAGACTTTCCTTTCCAACTGTTTTAACGGATTCTGCACTAAAGACTTCATCCATTGAAAAAAGAAGAAAACCTATTCTGTCGTGAGATTTTTATCCCATATGTTGAAAATCCTTAACCATAATCTTTTTTCTTCAATGCGGTTCTCTATATCAATTGAAATACCCACCTTAATCATTTACATAGCACCTTCAATTAGCCTTATTCACTGAAAACGAATCACTTCCGTGTCAATCATATGTTATTGAATACATAGAGTATTATTAAGTATAAATTACCGCACCTGGACGTCAAAATAATTTTTGAGTCGATTAAATGCATAGAATCTTTTCTTCTCAGTCTATATAAATGCATGACTTTAGTATTTTTTTGTAAAACTACCATCGGCGATGAAGCTGTTTCTTTTTCTTGTCGTATTATTCAGTAGTTCTATGTATGTTTCTGGTATCATTTGCTATTTTGGAATAACAAAGTATATATTTCCAGTGGTAACGGTTGATACTAATACAACAGCTGAAAAATGTGATAATGACACATGTACATGTACGAGTTACCAATATATTTGTCGGGCTGGTGATTCAACTTGTACAAACGAAGAACAACAAGGTCAAACACAAAAATGGGTTTTGACTATACTAGGTAAAAAGGTATGTCAACAACTACAGAACATGTCAAACACGAGATATTTAAATATTACCTGTTGTCATACAAACTATTGTAATAATCAACATTTGAATATTGCTAATACAACGAAATCATGTTTTCTCCTCTATATTACCATTGTCGCGCTTATTTTTATTTCTAAATAAATCAATGCTTGTGTCGAAATTCACTAAGATCGTCTTTGTACATTATAGTACTAATCAATCGCGTCCTCAATTGTCACAATCAAAAATAAGTGTGAAGCGATAAGATACTAACCTAAAAATACAGCTTATTTGAAGCAAAAAATGATTTTTAGCAGTTAAATTAAGAAAGCTTTGATCGGTTCATAATATCCATTAAGTTGTGCAATGAACCATACTGGAGTTTATTGTTCGATTGGGAATTGTTCTGATACTATTTCCCATGCATTTAAACAATTAATGGCTGATAAAAACAAATATACCACGATATAGTTCCGCGGTCGGAAATGGAAAGATTTAACCTATTAGTAAAACTTTTCGTTTGTAAATTACGAATAAAAATGTCGATGTTGTTCTTTTCTGCCATCATCTACAGAGAAAATTCATCGAATTCAAGCCGGTCGTCCAACATTCGCAGAGCTTGAATTTTATCTCTCGATAATTTCCTGCATTCAATCAACTGCAAGTTTTGAGTCGAATGTTACACCTTTGTTCAATGCATTGCATATTTATCTTCTAAGTAAATAAAAACACCAAAATCTTTTGCTTTTTGAGTACCATGCACTTCGAAAAAAATGACCTAATTTAAGAAATGCAAATATTAATTACAATCTTCTGTCAACTAAAAAATGATTAAAAGTTAATAACGTGTTTGACGGTACTCTTGCAACTTACGGCCATTTGACGCAGATAATCTATCTTTAAATTTTTTCCTACGCATCACAAGAGTAGCAAATTTCAATATTAGCTAATAGGAGAGATTTTTTCTAAGACAACACTAGTTTGTTGTTTGACAGAAAGCTTTAAGCACTAAAATCTAATAAAGTGCTTTCAAAGCACATAATATCTTATATGGATCAACTAAGCACCATCGTTGTCATAGTAGCTCTCTTTTCTTAACTTTTGAGCCTATATAACTAATTATTTTATTTAAAATACTCATCGTTCTTCATCTCAACTAAAGATTTATAAAATCATTTTTGTTTCAACATTTATTTGTGTCCCGAGAGCATTTGGTAGTTTCACATCGGAAAGCGGATGATTCTGGGAGGTCTAAGTCAGTCGCACATAGTTCTTTCGGTTTACAAAAACATATGCACTATTTTTAGCTGAACACCAATTATGTCAAATAAACACTTCACTTCGAAAAGTGTCGAATCATACATCAGATCAACTCATATTCTCATCTTCATTCTAGACTTCTCAAGATGAGCAACACCACCACCAACACAGCTCTCAATGATGAAACTCAATCTATCATTCTCTTCAATCTTCTCATCAAAACCTTCGCACAATGTCTCGATGGTTTTTCATGGATCATGGGTAACATCGGTGCCATTTGTACTTGCATTGTATTTTCTCAACCAACATTCCGAAAGAGTCCATGTGCCATCTATTTCATCGCTTCTAGTCTCTCGCAGATACTCGTTTTCAACTTTGCTGTGTTCATTCGAATGATCCAGTATGGTTATGCTGTTCCGGTTAATTCTGTTCCTTCATGGTTCTGTAAGATGCGTTTCTACATATTTTATGTGTCTGCAGCTACTGCTCGGTATAATATTATATTTGCATCAGCAGATCGATATTTGTGCAGTTGTCGAGATGCTCTTCGTCGTCATTGGAGTTCGACAAAGATGGCCTTTCGTCTCATCGTTCTCGTTCTCGTTGTTTGGCTGCTATTCTACATACAAGTTCTTGTTTTTACCGACGTGAAAAATGACAAATGTAGAATTTGGGACACAAGTATCATGACATATTTAAGTTACTTTATCACAGTCGAGAATGGGTTTTTCCCGATATTTCCAATGTTGATTTTTGGACTGCTCACCATTCGCAATATTCATGGGAGTCAGCGAACTGTTGCAGTGAGAGATAACAGCATGGCTCAGTCTGTTCAGACTGAGCGGTCAACGAGGAAAGAGACACATCTTCATAAAATGTTGTTCAGTCAAGTGATTCTGTTTGTGATTTCAAATATTCCATATCCGGTGTACTCGATTTATCGTTCATATGCGGGTGTTAGTTCATTTACAGGATCCCGTGTATTGATGGACACATTTATCAACAATCTTCTGTATGATATGGTTTATCTTGGTTTTGCATTAACATTTCCAAACTTTCTTTTAACGTCAAAAATGTTTCGACGAGAATTCCTACAAGTTCTACAGACAAAAATAGTCCAACGATGTCGACGACTTATGACAGCTTAATGTTAACCCCACAAGAAGAATTCATTGTCAATTGACATTAAATACTCATCTATATCCTTATTCTATCTCGTAGAAAACTCGTTTATTAATGTTCGTTTTCCTTATAAGCCTGTGCGTATGTAGATACTTAGTGAGAGAATCTTCGTCAATAGAAAGAAGCATGTTACTCTCGTATTTTTTGCTGACGCATCGGAAATTGTGAGGAAATACTAAGTTGGTCAAACGAAGCGATTGTCGATTGGTACTGTGCATCGCACATTTAATAAGCAAATAACCTCCCGCAAGTGGTTTGATATTGCAAAAGTTCTAGAGGCATCCATGCTTATAACTTCCTGTTTCGTCCTGTGATATAATCGATAGAACCCGGAGAAAAGAAAGGGAAGAACTTGAGTAATTAAATTTGAATACACGGATTATCATGTTTATTTTCTTCAACGTGAGGACGTTTATCGTCAACTCGTTCACTCCCGCACCATCCCGGTAAACATATAACAAACTACCCATTGTTCTTTTTACCAGCAAACAAATAAAAGAATCTGTATTTCAACGCTCAATAATCAAATTAGGAAGAAACTCCAGCGATTCGAAATAGCCATAACGTTGTGGAGTCATCCATTTTGGCCCATATTGCTCGACTAGGAATCGCTTTGGTGCTATTTGAAACGATTTATCATACATTTGCAAAGTCAATGGCTGAAAGTCTGAAAACCACCATCGACATTTCTGATATTTCATCTGATTACATAGTCCATTGTAAGATGCAGTCCACCATGAGAATGTCTCATTCTCAAGTGCATTCGAATGATAGAAGACAAAAATTCCGAAATGTAATTTCGTTTTTGGACATAACAAAGTCCAACCTTGACCATGTGTTCGATTTCCGTATTTCGTATAGAGACAATCTCCCTAATAGCGACGGGAAATTTTTACACTATCTTGTTTGAGTNAAAGTAGAAGTAGAATAACAAAGCATTGTAACGCTGCTCGTTTGAATATTATGAGAACAAACTTTCATAGAGCTATTGCTATATGCAAAGGAATAATATGAAATGCATGTAATTTTATTCGCTCGGTTAAATCGTGTACCATTTTTACAGATCATGGTTTTTGTTTATGCAAAAACTTAAATAACAAAATATCGCAGAAAAATTTCCTAAGAGTATACAGCGGAGAGAACAGAGAGATAATCAATGAATGGTTTGTACACAAATAAATTATATGGAATGAGTCGATTATATAAATAAGCGGTGCAGAAATCGAGATCTGTATGTTACATTTGTATGTACAGTTAAAAAGACGATGTATAAAATTTGTTCTATTTCGTCTTGTGCTTTTTTGCGTCAGCTTTCTTTTTCAATTCCTCCAATAATGCTCCATCGGTTATTACTTCACCAGATTTACGCTGAACACGAATTCTAGAACTTGTTCGGGTAGATTGTGTTGATGACGCCGTGGTGTGATCTTTGGAGTAAGCTGCAATGATGGACTTAGTCGCGGACTGTGGACTCATCAAAGCATTCGTTTTAGGAGCTACACACGTCGACTTGGTATTACTTTCATTGTTTGACGTAGTTAAATCTTCACCTGAAGCTAAAATATAGGAGAGCGAAGAAGATAAGTAGGATTTGTTTGAATTATATACTAGAATCGATTGAATCATTGTTTTCCCGCTGAGTATTTCGCGATGATGTAGCATTGATCGAATCGTTTGAATCATTGAAGTGCAAACAAAATCATGCACATGAAGAAAACTCTGCTTTGCATACCTTAGATCGCTGTCGGAATCATCGAATGTAGGAATGCGAAGATATGAATTTCCAACAGAACTAAATGTACGAGAGAAATATGTGGTGTGATGATCACTCATTGGTAAAAGAAGATTTTTTTCTGAGGAAGGTTCTTTGTCATCAAGAGCTTGCAGAAAAAAGAAGGATTTGAGTAATATTTTATTCATTAGTAGAGAATATGTAATGAATAGCCAGTTTATAGGATAAAATTAATGAGACAACGATGAATTCGAACTGAGGGCAGTCCGAAAACTACAACATGAGGTAATCTATCCTGGATAATATTTCAGCAGAGTGAACCATTCTCAGTCCATATTGTGGAAATAGCAACTTCGAAAGACACCTACGTTGTGCTATTTTGAATTGGATTAGAAGGTAAAGAGTTGTTTCTAGGAATGTCGGTCGTTTGAACAATATCGTTTAATGTTGTTAACATATCCGATGCCGATAAACTAAGATTCATTACTATAGCAAGAAAACGATAATAATGTAGGAGACTTGCTCATTCGCGTTAATCTGATTTTGTCCTAAACGGCGACGTACTACTTTTCCCTTCACTGCATCAGGATTATGAGGCCACGTACCGGCGTTTCGAAAACCCTCACCCACACCCTATTGTAGTAAATGAACGCTCGTAAAGTTCGCTGAGTAATTTTGGGAAATCGATTTTTCGAATGGTTCTTTTTTGATTGTTTCGAAAATAAGTTGAAACAATAGATTTCCATGCTTTTTTCACAACACTAGAATAGTGCACAAGTAAGAAATAACGACAATGAAACATATCGAAATTAAGAGCAATTATCGGATGCTGTTTCGAGCTGAATGTCACGTAGGCAATAAGTATCATTCATTCTAATTCAAACCAGATTTTGTGATTTTATATTGAATCGAATTCTGATATTCATATTTCTCTCTCTCTTGCTGACACCCTTTCTCCTTTTCAAAATAGCCGGAAACTATTATAAGACTTTTAACATGCTTAGATTTATTTAGGTACTACACTTCTACTTTTCAAAACAACATCTTTCAATGCCTTAAAAATGTTTAGTCATACTACGTGAGAATGAGACATTAAAATATGTAAAAACAGAAAAACATACCCAAACGGACAGACATCGAAAGGCTGCAGTGCATGAGTAGTATTGGGAGGTAAACACAACAGAATAATACCATGTTTTTGAGCGATCTCAATAGCTTTGATGGATATGTGTGGTGACAGGTTGTCCATTATCAAGAGTAATGGTCGTTGTATGCTAGCAGTCTCGGGAATAGATAAATGTTCGAGCCATTTCGCAAATAGGTCTTCGTTTATCCAACCTTTTGCGCTGCAATGATATTGCGAACGATCGGGTCCATTCTGTGTCCATAAAGGGTTCACATTTTTTGCGCCATATATTACAAATGGTGGCAATGACATGCCAGCCGCATTTCCAGCTACTACGACAGTTGTGAATGCTTTGCCAGAACCGCCATCTTCTTCGTAAACAATCTTAGTTTCATTCGAAACACAAACCCATTCGCCTAAACAAAATTTGTTATCGAAATAATGTAAATGAAAAAATATTTTCATTTATTTTCCCGTGTTTCACGTCTCGTCATGTGAATACATGGTGCGTGTTAAATGACACATAATACATGAGCAACTTGGTGATTCTTTCTCCAGTTCTTTTTCAATCATTTGATCAATTCTCTCTTTAAATTTGACATTGTCACCTATTTCGAAATGCACGTAAGACGTTCCTTGTGCTCTATCTCACAAGATCTGCTCGCCATTCGATTCCGCTTTCGTTCTGTACAATAGTCAATTTTTGAATATTATTTATTCCTGATGACCAGTTATCGCATGAGTATCACTTCTGTCAAGTGTTACAACGCCTTATCTGTATGCTTTTGTTTTTATTTTGACTAGTTTCGGCTACAATACAATATCTTCTTATACTCTATCCACGAAACAAAACACCCAAGTCAAATGGTGACATGAAAAATCATACTCACTAAATTACTAAACAGTTTTGTAAACGAAGCTATGATTTTGTCTAATATGTCGAGATATGTAATTAGAATACTTATGAACAGTGAAATGACGTTCATGAAAGAAAAAATAGAGTGAATATCGTGCACAAGTAGTATTAAAATGCGGCGTGTTCGGAAATAATTGGCAATAAATCAAACGTCTGTAAATTGCTTGCTTGCACAGATATTGAAACACAAAAATTGAGAGAAGTGATCGGTAAGTAGATTATCTACTTTTGAGGCGTTGTGTATCAGAAACGCTTATAATGTATTCACCAATAACTTTCTTCAAAACGTTTTTAGTTAAACGAACACCGGCACATTCTAATGACTTGATGAGATCAACCAAATAACCTTCTTTTTTCTTGTCCAAATATACAGGACGCCCGCTACCAATATCTAACGAAGTCTGAGTCGTGTGCATTCGAATCGTACTTTGTGGAACACCGTAATTTGTCGATGCCAAAACCGACGTCATCTCACCATCCAAAACAGCAGTCACTGCATCAATTAACTGTTCTTTGTCATACCGGCCACGCGGAGCAATCGTTTTCTTCTGGTCGGTGATAGTCATTGGTTCGATTATCTAAAACAAGTACAGGTTTTCCAATCAAAATACGTATACATTCGGAGAATGAGTTCTATTTCCACTTAAAAAGCTTTATTTAATCTCAAAAACTATCGTGTAGTATCGTTATTCTTTCAAAACATCACATCTACATTCACCAAAGCATCGCTAAATATAAGGAATAAATGAAATATATCTAGTTCATTCTAATCGTTAAAACCGTTGATTGAACAGACATGTGATACGTCGCTCTTATCACTAATCAATCTCTTCGGACCACGTGACATCTACAACAATAGCTCTATGAAAGTTTGTTCTCATAATATTCAAACGAGCAGCGTTACAATGCTTTGTTATTCTACTTCTACTTTTGTGAAGATAGATATAAAGACATTTGTGGTTGATGAGGATTTCATCATCTTTTCTAATTGTGTCGCTATTAAGGAAGAAAAATAGCTGGAATCATAGCAATTAGTCAAAATCGGACTATCGTCGCTATTAGGGAGAAAATTTTGCTCTACGTCGCTATTAGGGAGGAATTTTTTTCCGAGTCACTACAGATGATCTTTGAACACCGTAGAACTCATCTATTACCTTATCAAGGAACGATGAACCGCTAGATATCGGTAGTATTTGAGATGCTCTTCAAAGTTGTCAGCAGAACTTAGGGTTGTTTTCTGAATAGAAATTGTGAAAAAAGCCGTTTTCCAAAAAGTTGTCTATTTTAGCATATTTTTCGGTGGAACGTCGCTATTAGGGAAGAAAATTAGCTGGCCGTCGTTATTACGGAAGTAGAACCTAATAGCGACAGTAGGGCTTCTCCATTTTATACCGCTGATTTCTCCATGAAAACGTGAGCGAAATTGAATAAAAAATATGCCATTCCAAAGAGCGTCACCGGTA